CTGGGGAAAGGGAAGTGGAGTGCTACAGAACAAGTTGCAACCCAGGCCCAGGACTGAACTACACCGACACACAGGGAAGGAGCGGGTGGGGGTGAAGGGAGCAGACCCCCAAACACCAGTAGGAGAGAGGGGTGGGTGTGAGAGCTCCGAGGACCGGCAGGGCTCCGGAGCAAGCATGAGCACACTTTCGGTGTGCACCCGGGGTCCTGGCGGGCTCCAATACTTCACCATAGGTAAAGGCAGGGCACTGAGATTTAGACATAAGGCCCTTTGCGAGGGGAAGGAGATTAGGACTGCTGTCCTCAGGGTCGCATAAACTAACAGTGACACTAAATGTAGTTAGTGCCTGGCTCACAACAGTGCCACTGCCTGACTGTCCTTCTGCCCATTCCCAGCCCCCTCCACTCCTCTGAGTCCTAGTCTTCCTCCAAACCAGGCAGCCTTCCTCGACCATCCAAATTCTCGATTATTTCTCCCACACCTCAACTCCCATAACATTTTCTGTCCGCATCATTCATTTGGATCTATCATTACTTTAGAAGATATCATGTATCTCATACGTATATGCGTAGATATATATTTATACATATATATGTGCACATGCATATATATTTTTATCATCAGACTGTAAGACCCAAGAGGGAAGAGACTACACCTGATTTGTAACCACTGTAATGCATTCCATCCAGCCCAGGGCAAGTGCTGTGAGGAGGACACAGCAGTTTAGAGGTGAAAACATACAGAACTCCTGCGTTTTAGCCCTAGTTCGGCAATTCACTAGAATAACATTGGACAAACCACAGGTCACCTGACAGAGGTTGCCTAGGCCTGGCTTCCTCCGCAGGAGAGGGGTTGAAGTACCAGTACTCCCTCATATAGTTCTCAAGAGCACAGATTTAAATCGTGGATGTGGAAGCACTTTGTGAAGCACTATTCAGATTTAGGACAAAGTTATTCTTCTGCTCTGAGTTTTCTTTTTTATTTATTTATTTATTTGTTTGTTTATTTATTTATTTATTTATTTTTTATTTTTTGGTTCCCTAGCGGGAACCGAACCCGGGACTCTCTGGTCCGCAGGCCAGTGCTCCGTCTGCTGAGCCAAACCGGCCAGGGCTGCTCTGAGTTTTTATGTGGACTCTTCCACTGATGATGGTGTAGCCTTGGGCAAGTTATTCACCCCTAGAAGCCTTAGCTTTGACATCTATAAAATAGGAGACACAGCCCTGGCCGGTTTGGCTTGGCCGTTAGAGTGTCGGCTCACGGACCAGAGAGTCCCGGGTTCGGTTCCCGCTAAGGGCACATATCTCAGTTGCGGTTTGTTCCCGGCCCCGGTTGGGTTGTGTGAGTGGCAACCAGTCAATGTGTCTCTCTTACATCGATGTTTCTCTCTCCCTCCTTCCCTCCTGCTGTATCTGAAAATAAATGCAAATGTCCTCAGGTGAGGATAAAAAAAAAAAAAAAAAAAATAGGAGACATAATGCAAGTTCACAGGGTTGTTTTAAGAGTGAAATGAAATCACGTACACAGTGTGACTGGCACAGCACAGCACCCAGTGCTCACGCAGAGTGTTGGTTCCTTCCTGTCTTACCAAGCACGTTGTACCAAGCCTTCGCAGTGTGTCCCTAGCAGCACCTTGCACACAAAAGTTCAGAAAAATGTACTCTTCCGGATAATGCTGCTAATGCTAATGGTGCTGGTGAGGATTAATAAGAACTGTTGGTAAAGATGAGTCAGTAAACCTGATTTTACATTTGAATATACACATTGAGCCCTGTGTTTTTCTCCCTCTCCTTTATGATATGTGGGTGAAGGTGGGAGGAGGCCTCCAGTCTGACAGAGGCCCCTTTAAAAATGTGCCTGGGCTCCCCCTCTGCCAACCAAGTTGCTAAAAATACTACTACAGCAAAGCTGAAATATTTGCACAGAAAACTGAATTCCCTGCTACCTCCACGCCTTCCACTCAAATGGGTGAAATCCTGACCTAAGAAGCCCTCACCAAAGGCGCCGGCCTCTTCTGATCATGGAGTCCCTCTGTGGGCTTGAGCTGCGGTGTCATGTTCAGAATGTGCCTACTCCAAGGCGGGGAAGCCACAAGTATTGGCAAAGACCTTGCCATGTGCTTTGGCTTTCCTCTCTGCTTACGAGGACCAGCTCTCTCCAAATCCCCTCCATCTGTCCCAAGAAGGATCTGTATTGGACCCCAGAAGCTTCCCACTAATCCATCTTTTATCTTCTCTTTTTTTCTAACCACCTCCTCCTCTGCTGGCCTGGTTCTAGTCAGTGCCCCTCCCCTCCATGCTCCTTGCTGGATCCAGCCCCCCCACCCACCCACATGCCCAGCTCCCTCTCTGATCTGGCCCTTCTGGAGCTCAGCTGCCTTCCAGGCCTTCAGTAGCTGTGGGGGCCAAGAGGTTTTGAAATTCAAAGAGTCAAGGAGGACAATGACAGGCCCAGGCCCAGCTAGTTTATAACAGGTAATGCCCCCAAATTTGAACTTGACACCAAGACCTTGGCCAAGCAGTGCTCAGTGGGGAGGGTCATCTAACACTGCTCTGCCAAGGCCCAGAGCCTCATGGAGCGAGGCAGCCTGCCCCCCACAGCAGCCAGACCCACGCATTCCCTGCTGCTCTGGGTCCCCTTTCCCAGCTCATCCATTTGAGAATCAGGGCTCAGAGTTCCCTCCAGCCCATCTTGCTGACAAGCCCTGGCCACCTGGCCGGAGGAGGAACCCTGACCAGAGGAACTATGTGCCCTGGATTCGTGGCGGAGGAGGGGTCCACTTCTGCGCATGTCTTAGGGTGCCTGAGTGTGGCAGCGCGCCCACAGCACATGTCTCTGTGAGTCTGTGCTTCTGGGTCTGTATGTCTGTGTCATTTAAATGGGGCCATAGTGTGGCTGCTCCTGCCTCTGGATATTTGTTTGCGAGTGTTTGCTTTCTCATTACAGTCTCTGTCTTCCTTTCCTCCTCACTTCAGAGCCTGCCCATCCCCCAGGGCAAGCTCTGGCCAGTTCTGCGTAGGCTCCTCAAATTGGCTGATGCCAAAATGGCTGTTTTGCCGATGAAACTGACAGTTACCATACCTGGTCTCCCATGGGGCCCGCCAGTGTTGAGAGACACCCTCGTCCCACACAAAAGTGCCTTTTAGGAAGACAAAAGGGCTGCGGGAGTTTGGGGGAAGGCGTGTGGTAAAGATACTCTCTCCCCTTCAACTCTGACCAGCAGGAAGGGCGCCCAGAGGCAGCTCAGGCTGCCGAGGGACGTTGCCTAGCAACTTGGGAGACTTTACTGCAAACTCACTAAATCCCGAATTCTAATTTGGGAAGAGAAAAGCACAGAGTCCAGGTCTGATATCCACTCTGCCCCCAGTTGCCTCCTTTTTTCCCTCCTCTGTATTCTGGAGTTGATGTCCAACCGGAAATGGCACAACTAAAGGACCCAGATGTGCACATTAGTTAGGCAAGGGCCTGACTTCCCGGGACATCCTGCCATTTGGTGGAGGTGGGGGATGAAGGATGTGCCAGAGACAGATTGCAAAACAGATTTTCAGTTACAAGGTGGGTGGGTCCCAAACATGCTGGGAGAGAGACACCCTTAAACCCCTAGCCCTGGAATCCCAGCCAGCTTCCACTTCAGCTTGGGGGCCCAAGCTGGCTAACCCTGTGTCCATCATGAGTGGCCACCAAAATGTCACTCCCACTCATTTTCCCTTTGGCAAACAAAGCCCATGGCGCAAATGTTCAGGTAGGAAGGAAGCATGGAACAGCCATGCTATGACTGGCCAGTGGCTGTGGGCTCACTGTTTCAGAACTCCCTGTCCCAACCAGAGCCCCAGAGCATGTCTCCTACTTGCTCCGTTTCAGTCCACAGACCTAAGTAGCAGCCATCCTTTCTTCCTTCCCTCCTGTGGGACCATAGCTGAAAAAGACTTTCTAGTTTTTTCAAACATGGCCCACCCCATCCATATGACATGCCACACTGCCAGCCTAGAACCCTGACAGGTGGGGGGAAGCTGGCGACCACAAAAGATATGCTTCTGCAATATCTCCCCTTCCCAGCCTGTCATGAAGTCCACATCCTTCCTCTATCATGGAACCAAAGAGTCATGACTTTGGATATTTCCCTGTACTAGGGTTTAAGGTATTTGTCTTCCCAGGGGCAAGAGAGCGTGGCCAGTCTTCCTCTATTCTGAAGCAGTGGATCAAGAGAATAGGGGACCTCTGGTATGGAAAGTAGGAGGGAATGGTGTTTTTCCCAAGTCAGTATCCATATAGAGACACATACAAAATGAGTGTTGTACACATAGGACTTTGTTTAGAGAAGGGCATACAGATAGATAGAAGGATAGATAATAGAAATATCATGCAGATATCTTGGTTAGGGCGACTGCCCATGTACCTGCGCATCTGGATTTATCTGCACACTGTGTACAAGGTCTGTGTAGTTATTTTTGCAAGCTGTATCTACAGTGTCTCCATGTTGAAGTGCTCATTTAGTAAGCCTGGGAGAATCATACATGGACACATGGGCTTGTGAACATTTGTGTTTGTGTGTCCACTGCCCGATTGTATACCGACAACATTCTCCAGTCTGCAGCAGATGATGGAACTTTTTAACCGCACATCTTTGGGGCGTTTCTTTGAGGACTGAGGGGGAAAGAAGCTAGAGGGAGCCCTATTCGGGACTCTGGCTAGGTTGTGGAAGTGTGGGGAGGTGGCGAGGGGTGCGTGGTTTTCTGTATATGAGTGGGAGGGTGGTGTGCCCAGATGTGAGTGTGTTTGCGCCCGGGATATCGGGGCCTCCATCTGCCTGGCAGTCTGCCGCCTCAGCAGCAAGGGTTTGGATTAGGGAGGATGGGTATGTAGGAGGAGTGGATGGAAATGTGTGGGAGGAGGGGTTGGGGTGGGAGAGGGAGCCGACAGAGGGGCGTGGCCATCCATCTAGTTTCCCCGCCCACCCTGTCCGAGGTGGCTCGTGATTGGCTTCTAGACCGCAGGGCTCAGGTTACATTCGCGAGCAGAGCTGAGCGCGGGAGAGAGGACCCAAGAGCGCAGCTGAGGGTTCGGCGCCAGTAGGCGCGGCGCAGCTCAGCCCCCGAGTCTCCGCCTGGCACCACACACCCCTACCCCCGCCTTGCTCCAGCTCCGCCCAGCCGAGGACCCCCAAAACCAGTATGGACTGCTGCACCGTAAGTTAGAGGGCCTGGGGGACGGGTACCCTGCTTGGTATGGGGCAGGGACTCCCGGGAACCCCCTGGAGGGTGAGGGAGAGAGGGAAGTGGGTGCAAAGACCTAGGAACAATAGGTGTGCCTGCTGAGACGTGGTGGTGGGTGGTGAAAGGCACCCGCCTGGTTTGGAAGCCCTGGGATAATGCTCCCCATTCGCGGGGGCGTCTGGGCGCCCATCCTCCAGGCTGTCTGGGTTGGACTGGGAACTCGGCATGGCTCTGCAGCGGGGAAGCTGCAGGTTACGGGAAAAGAGAAACTTCCCTCTAGAGAGATGCTAGCAACCATCCCCTAGTGATGTTGCAGCGACTCCCTTCCGACTCCCACCAGGCTTTCGGCCCCCATCCCACTGCCATTGCGGTTGGTGGGCGCAACAATATGATCCTCTGGACCTTCGAGCCCTGTTTGGCGCAGGCTAGGATAGGAGGTTCATATTGGGTAGCTTAGTTGTGACGATGGACAGCGAAGAACCTAGTCAGTGTGGTTCTGAGGAGGGGTTGGCCCGGCTCCCAATCCCTTCTAGCCCCAGAGGGGACTGGGTGACCGCGAGAGAGCCCTGCTGGCGAGGGAAGGAAGTGTCTGCAGTTTGTCGGCGCCCACGGAGACCTGGATGCGCAAGTGGCTAATGTCAAAGTAGGTTGCTGTTAAGGAGACTCTGGTATGAAAGCGCTTGGCTCACTAGAAGAGTACAGTGATCATACACATATAAATTTTATTTTTAATGATTGGTTTTTAGCCCCCACATATGGAGACAGACTACTGCAAAGTCCTTGCATTCTCAGCCATTCAGTCAACCCAGCTAATGATACAAGAGCTTATGACTTGCTTGCTCCCCACCCTCCATCCTTAAAAAGGGGGTGGGGGTGAAGTTTGGAAGGACAGCTTAGATTATAAGAGGTGAGATTTCCTTATAACTGGGTACCAAGAAGCAGAAAGAATTTAGGACCAAGTCATTGTGGTTCTTATTATGATTTTAACTCATCTTAATGTTAAACATTGTTGTCAATTTGTGAATGTTTACCATGTACCTAACACTTTACATTTAATCATCACAATGGCCCTGTGAAGTAGATATTATTTTCCCCATTTTACAGATGTGCAAACTGAGGCTTAGAAAGATTAAATGATTTGTCCAAAGAGGTACAGCTTCTAAGTGTGGAGACAGGATTCAAATACTCTACCTCTCCTCTAAATATTTACTATTTTCCTCATTATAAAGGTAATATGCTCATAAAAGAAAATGTAAAAACTAAAGATAAGCATAAAAAAGAAACACGCCAGTCATCTATAATCCTACCCCCTGGAATAGCCCTGTTAACATGTCTCATACCAGTCTTTTCCTCTGTTATTCTCCAGAAAGCAATTTTTGATTGTGGAAAGAGGAATGGGCTCTTAATAGAGGTTCTTGGGTTACACCAAAGAAGAGCTCCTTATCCCTAAAAGTATTTTATAAAGTAGAGAAAATAAGTGGATAGAGGGCTCTGCATGTGTATGTGGTGGTGGCAGGGGAGGGGGGCAATATTGCTGAGATGGTAAGAATGATGGCGAAGGAAAAGCAGGTAGCATGTTGAGTGGAAAGAGGAGAGAGCAAATAATCCAAGAGGCTGGGGAAGGAATGTAACTTGTCTCAGATGGTGCCTGCAGGAGTAATTAGGGTAGAATGTTGGGTCCCTGCCTGTGGGACCTGGTCTGCCCTGACTGTGCTCTTGAGTGTCCAGAAAGCCAAACTGAGTGATTGGTAGGCATGTGTGGAATGAGTGTCCCCTGAAAAGAGGAGAAGCTGCCCACCAAACTGTACAGAAGAGGCAAATACACAACTATCCCAGTTGTTCTAGCTGGGATGGGTGGTGACGCAGGTCAGTCTTAGTGCTGTTGGAGAAAGAAACCCCTTCCTCAGTTCAACCTCCACAACTGGCAGCTGAGGAGAGGTCTGCTTGAACTGGTTTCTTGGAGCAGTGTCCTCTTATGAGGAGAAACTTCACGGTTCCCTGAGAATATCCCAAGAAAGGCTTGAGCTCTATGAATCAAAGAACCAAAAAGCGAAAAGCATTACTTTGGTTCATAAGTGGGGAATAAGATACCAGGGAGAGAGCACAACATCAAGGGAGCACAAAAAAGTGTTCCAGGCCCTCCACAACCACACTGGTCTCCTGATCATTCCTTTTAACGACATTTAACTCAATTATGGGCACACACTGAAGAACTCTGAAATCTAGGAAATGAAGACAGCCTTCAGAAGCATGATGAGGAAAGGCATTCGTAAACCTGTGGTTAGACCTCTGGGGTTTAAATCTGTGCTCCTGGGACGGAACCTGGTTGGGGTGGCGATCACCGAAGCCCCACTGATACCCATCCCACTTTGGTGAACTGGGTGGGGAAACGAACATAACTGAATGACTACATGAGATCTTGGTCATCTCATGCCCACGAAGCAAAACACAGTGAAAGCAGTGGAAATCCTTAGGCCAAAAATGTTAGGATAATTTTCCTACAAGCAAGAGGATCAGATCAAAGGAGAAATGTCCTTCTGATTGCATAGTAACCATCTGCAAGCCAACCCACATCAACACCCAGGCGCTCAGGGGCTCGGGCCCTCTCCTGCCAGAGCCCTGCCTCTGAAATCAGTGTGGCCAATCAGTTACTGGCCCCTTTCTACTGGCTGGGGCAGGCTGTGGGAGAAACAGAGACCTGGGGTGTGGGGGTGAGTCTGATTATTATTAGGTTGAACCATATGACATTGTTTTTATATGACCACTTTTGGCCTACAAAACCAACTATTTCACATCAACTTATTATTTAAAATAATTGTAGTAATATCTGCCATTTATTGAACAACTAGATTGTGCCAGAAACTTTATGCATATCATGTTGTTTATTCTTCCCCACAACCTACAGAGGTAGATATTATCCTGACTTCAGAAGGGGCCCTTTTGAGCTGGAGGCACCTCTGAGGACGGGGAGAGGCAGCCACGTCCAGGAGTGCCTGCTGTTGTTCACTTTGCTCCTCCACCCCCTGCTCCCTCCAGTCAGCTCTACAGCCTACCCCCCGCCCCCCCCAACTCGATTCATGGCAATGGGCCCTTTGCCACTCAGAGCTCTCTGGCTGTCTTGGATCCCATTCCATCGTGTGCTTCTCTTTCCTGAGTGGGGAACACAACCGAGTCCACCTGAAACTGAACCTTCCTTTTTTCCTGCCGCTGCCCAGAAGGGGGACACATACGCGCGCCTGCGCGCACACACACACACACACCTGCACGCCCCCCTGCCTTAGCCCTTCTCCGTGCCTTCCCTGCACTTCCCACTCCTGTGTCACCCTCCTCAACCCCCACGACTCGACTCCTACCCAACCCTCTCCGAGTCTCCGCCCAGTCACCGCACAAATACCCCTGCCCCGCCCCCAGGAGAGCGCCTGCTCCAAGCCGGACGAGGACATTCTAGACATCCCACTGGACGATCCTGGTGCCAACGCTGCCGCTGCCAAAATCCAGGCGAGTTTCCGAGGGCACATGGCACGGAAGAAGATCAAGAGCAGAGAGAGCGGCCGGAAGGGCCCCGGCCCCGGAGGGCCTGGCGGAGCTGGGGGCACCCGGGGAGGCTCGGGCGGCCCCAGCGGAGACTAGGCCAGGTGAGCCGGTCCTCTCCCAGCCCTGGGCCCGCCGAGAGTGCCCGCTCCTCCTCCCGAGGAGCGAGGAAGACTGAAGGCGGGCTGAGCGAGAAGACGGGTTTGGGAAGCTGAGGGTGGGGCCCTGGAAGTGGTGGGGGAGCTCAGGGCGCTGCGCCCGAGAGCTCACCTATTTCTTTCTCTACCCTCCCTTCTGCCAACCCCTCCCCGAACGAAGAACTGAGCATTTTCGAAGGTAATGGTACGACCTCAAGGCGGGGTGGGAACCCTGAGTGGGAGGGAAAAAAGAGAACCCAGCCCCCACCCCTCCCCTCTGCCCGCCCTCACCCCTCCCAGCCCGGGAAAATGCACCTGAGACTGCAGGGTTTCTGACACATCAAGACGCCTGAGGCTGCGAAAGGGACACACCTGAACCAACACAGATATGCAGTTACCCCGTCTGGCTACTTGAGCACGGCCGGGGGGCTCTAGCGCACAGTGGTGCACACACGTACAGGCCACGGCTGGGTTCAGCTCAGTGGTTTGGGTCGGGGGTGGGGTTCAGGGTGCCTAGGGCCCCCTGGCGCTCCCGCCCTGCTGTCCGGGTCTAGGAAGGGGGAGAGGAAGTACCAGAGAGGCAGGTGCTCAGACCTTCTCTGTCCTCAGTTTCCGAGGAGCGATGGATGCCGCGTCCCCTTGGCAGTGACGAGACTTCCCTGCGGTGTTTGCGACCCTCTCCTTTCCACCAACCTGCCAGCTTCAGAAGCCTCCCCACGTCCCCAGAGACCCTGTCCCAGGCAGGCTCCATCGAGGAGTTGCTAAGTCTGTGCCCTTTCATTTGGTTCTCCATTCTAGTATGGTCCCGTTCGTCCTCCTTCCCCACCCTAGCCCCAAACCTCACCCTCCCCAATCGTCATTCTTTGCTTCTCGCCGGGTCTCCGCACCAGCATGCAGTTTTGCCTCCACAGCCTCCGTGCGCTCCCCTAGGTGCACCGCAGAGGGCGCCCTACCCTCTGCGTTGCCCGAGGACACTCACTTTAAAAAAGTGCTTTCGTTCCGTGCACAGCTAAAGGGGACGCCTTTCGTCTCTGCTGTTCTCGCCCTCAACCTGCCCTAGAACTTTGGATCGGGGACGAGGAGAGCGGGGAAGAGAGTTTTTATGGTGTTCAATACCCCTTGCTCTGATGGGAAGGGAAGTCCCTATTTCACACCCTTCCCCACGCCTGCCTGTAATTGGTCCTCCCCTCACCCTTGCGCACCTGGAGAGCCACACAGGTACCAGCTTTCTTGTTTTGCGAACGCCGGAGCGAGGGGGTGGCTCCGTGGGAGGAGTCTGTTGTGGCCCGGCCCCTGCCCTGCTGGCTCCGCCCCCGACGGACTCCTGGGGCTGTGGCCGGAAGGTTTTGTTTTTATCTACGAGTGTGCATGTGACTGCTGGGTTGAAATGTGAACAATAAACAGGAATGTCCAAGTGTTCCAAGGGTGGTAGAGGTGAGGATGCTTGAGTGCTCAAAATTTGAACAAGTCTCCTTTGACCAAACCAAAAAGTGGAGGTGGGAGGGGGAAAGGGGCGAGGGACCTGTTAAAACCTTCCCTTCCTGCCTCCGGCATCAGTCTGGGAATGGAAGCCTCTTCCTTCCCCTACTGTACTAATACTCTTTGGGCCGCCTAGGGGACATTTGCTATACCGCAGAAAGAAGAGGGAGACAACATGGTACCCAGAAGCTTTAATTGTTGATATTCCCCCTCAGCAGTGAGCAGGGAAATCAGACAACCATAGGGAGGTTGGACTTGGTGGCCTTCACAGTGATGGCAGAAAGGGGCTTCTCCAGGAGCCCATTGCTAGAATCGGCCTTCATGGAAGTTTGTTCAGAAATCCCAGGAGCTATGGCATCCTCTCTGATAGATAGAAACACATTCTTAGTGAAGACTAGAGGCATCCCTCAGAGGACACCCTTCCCTCACAACCCAGGGACGTTTACACTTTACTGTGCCTGAGAATCATTTGTGGAACTTTGGTTGAAATAAAGATTCCAGGCCCCATCGCCCCCCAACGCACACACAGATTCTACTTCAGGAGGGGTAAGATGGCCTGAATCTGAATGTTAACAAGCTCCCAGTAATTTCTGTCCAGGTAAACCAGGGGACCACACTTGAAGAAATACTGCTCTGGTCCCTATTTTGAACCCCACAATTGACAGCGATGACAGAGGCAGCTTCTCTCCTTGCTGCCCCACACAGAATCACACCCAGTTGAACAAATCTCAGGGCAAAGCTCAGGGCCGATCTAAGTCCTGGCATCGACATCCTGCTGACGTATATGAAAAGGACTTAAAAACCAAAAATGAAAATTCTGTTAAGTATGAGGACCATGAGAGCAGCTTATGAGTCAACCCCTCCACCTATACATTTAGCTCACACACAAATACACGGGCTACACTGCCATCCCCACCACCAAATCCCAGGACTGAGTGGTACTCCTTACTCCCAAGATGTCAGACCTTGAGGGCTGAGATCTACCCTTAGTCCAAACCCTTTCGTCCCTCTCTGCACTACCCTCCACCCTTCTGCTTACCGAAGGTCACTACCCCTGTATATCTCGTTGGGCCTCTTCCTCCTCTCTTTCTGGAATCTTATTAGGCAGAACACAGCGACGGACAGGAACAGCACGCTCAGGAGCACTCCGATCACAGCCCCAGCCACTCGACCTTTGGAAGGGTCTAAGGATACACAGGATCCTCAGAGCTGCAGACCCACCTTGGCCCCTCCTCAGACAATTTCATGCAGCCTCTGCAATCCAGGTCTGCCAGCCCGGCCTCTGCCCAGCACCCCTACCGGTCACAGAGAGGGTCAGTTCACAGGATGCACTGCCCATCTGGTTGGTGGCCACACAGCGGTAGGTGCCCGACGAGGCCAGGGAGAGATTGGTGAGAATGAGCTGACCAGACGCCTCATCTAGGGAGCAAAGAGGAAGTGTTTCATCACTCATTCAGCTCACAGGGAGCATCTACTATGATGAAAGCATTTTTCATTTCATCCTTACAACCGTCCTGTCAGGAAGGGACTAACATCATTTTATTAGTGGGAAAACTGGCTCAAAGAAGGAAAGTAATTGTCCAAAGTGACCCAGAGAGGAAGTGACAAAGCCACTGCAACTTCTGTGCTCTTTCCGCCCTACACAACTGCATTTAAAGGGGAGGGGAGACCACACACACTTGAAGGGTTCAGAAATAGGCAATGGAATCAGGGTGGGGTGCTTACTGGCTGATGTCAGGTTCCTGGTTGGGGGGAAGAGGCTTCATTGCTAGAAACTGTCTACTGGGATGGCTCTAAGCTGAACCAAGCGCTTTTCTAAGCTGCTTACCTTCCCTTTAGAAGGCAGAGCACACACGGGAGGTGATCTGGGGGCTCTGGATTGATAAAGGGTTTGCTGGGGCCGAGAGGAGAGAGAGGGCACTGGAGCCAGCATGAGGAGGCTGAGAAGCTGTGACTCTTAGCCAGTTATATGGTTCCTCCAGAGAAACTGGCTAAGTGATCCAAGATAGTCTGTGCTACTCTGCCTCAGTTTCTCTTCTAGGAAGTTTGAGAACTATTCATGACCCTTAAGAAATCTAAAAGAAATCCCTCCCAAACAAACAAGTGGGAATCACAGGATGGCTCTGCCTTCCACTCACTCTCTTCCTTTATATCGGAGTATATTTAGCTTGAGAAATGCTTCCAGTATCATGCTGTCACAGACTATGCAGGCAGACAGACAGGAGGGACCAATACAGAACCAAGAAAGATGCAGGGAGAAGGTACAAGCATTTGTCTCATTCCCGCAGGTATGGGGCTGGTACTATGGGTGTGTGGGGTTTAGAGACCAGATTTGCCCAGGTCCTGAGTCCCATCTTCCTTGATGCCCCGGCCCTTACCTTGCACCATGCTGCCAGGAGAAGGTGTAGGAGAAGATCCAAGGTGGACCCAGTTGTACACTGGCCTGGGAGCTCCTTCGGAAGAGCTGCACCTCAGTGCAGCAGAGCCCCCCACAGAGATTTGACCAGTCTGACTGCACGAGGGACTACTGGGGGGCACTGCAAAAATCACAGAAAGAACCGTAGTGATTTTCTATCTCCACTCTCATTAAGGACTAGATTTCCTAATTCAATAGTCCCACCAAATAGCAGTCCACTTTTGCCCACATACCACTGTCTTCCCAGGAAACGATTTGCTCTATTGGAAATTCTGATTGTTAGAAAAATCTCATGTTGAGCCCAAATTTGTGTTAATATAATATCCGCCCATTGGTCCCAATTCCTGCCCTCTGGACCCACAGAGAGAAATGAAAAATGTTCCCTCTGCAGGACAGCCCTTCAGATTTCTGAATGCAGCTGCCATACCACCTCCTAAGTGTTTTCTTTTCCATCTGAACATCCACAGCCCCGTTCATAGTTTCTTCTTTTTGCTCATCCCTGAGCAGGCTCTAGCTTGGGGAGAGATGGAGGTTCTGGACACAAAATTGGTGCTTAGTGTGGTAGGGGCCCTTGTTCTTTTAATGGTCACCCCCCTTCTCTGCCACTGACCTGGAGAGGGACAGACTCTCAGATATGAATGGGAGGTGCTCCCAAAGATGGAGCTGTTGGGGCCATGACTCAAACCCTGTATGTGGAACCTTTGTTACTAGGGATTGAGGGAGGAGCACTCTTTGTGGAGGGTGGAGCGGGAGTATGACTGGCTGGATTAGAAGCCTTGAGGAAGGAGGCACTTTCCCTTGGGGTCCCCAGTAAAGTTGTACGGTTGGGCTGGAAAGAAAGATATGTGGGGATTTATCGGGGCCAGTGAAATCTTTCAGGGTATATGGGTCCCCAGACTGCCTTACCCAGCACAGTAAGGTTGATTAGCCCCAACCCATTGGTGTAGAAATCTGGTGGGTTCATAACTTGGCAGAGGTAGGTTCCAGTATCTGAGGGGTGGACATCAGTCAGTTTCAGGGTGGCCACTCCTCCTGTGGGGGGGTTCTGAAGCAGGCCGGCCCTCTTTGCCTTGGAACCAGCTGGGTACAGATGTCCATTGGTGAAGTACAGGATCTGGGGAGAAGCAGAAGACACACACAGCTCCTTTTCCTGGCTGGCATCCGCTCTGCAGTCCGTTCTCCCTTACACCAGCCAGAGAAGCTGATGCTCCAGTCAGAACCATGAAGGTCTAGCGCCCCAAATACTAGCCCTTTCCAAGTGCTAAAGGAACTATATTCATTGCTTTCAGCTAAGTATGATTCTCATTTTGGGGGTGAGGGGACACAAATATTTCTGGAAGGGGCAGCATTTTATCCTACTTTCAATCACAACAGCTGAGCATCAGTTTAATAGCTGTATTAACTGAAGCTGGGACTGCACTAGGAGTTGCACATTGGGAGATGGGGAAGGAAGGTGGCTAGACCATGTATGTGATCTGGGATTACGCCGATTGCTGTCCTCAGAAGATCTAGAAAGAGTCCACTTATTTTTTTCATCCCAAGGCACCTGCCCTCATCCTAGGTGCCCCCCCCCCCCCCGCTCCTGCCTCTCGGGCCCACCCCGCGCAGGCCAGAGGCCCCCGCCCCCACTCTCAGCTCACGGGGGTGGACGCAGAGATGGGCTTCCCAGGCTGCACGAAGCTCCACTCCAGGGCGAAGCTGTCTGTCACTGACGTGCTGTAGCTGCAGGTCAGCTCGGCGGTCTTGCCCACCTGCGTGCTCAGGGGCTCCGCGGGCACGTGCACCTCCACCGCAGGGCCGGGGGCTGGGGGCGCACAGGGAGAGCCAGCCGGGGGCTGGGGGTGGGGGGCTGGGGGAATCTCCGCGATCGGGAGCCCGGCCCACCATATCCCGCGAGAGGCTGGGGCTCCACTCCCTTCTGGAAACCTGAAGTTTCAGGAGGGAGGAGCACACACCGAGTTTTGTGGGTGAAAGGACGGGACTGGCCAGGTATGAGGGTGTGTTTGCCGGGCAGAGGAAACAATGGTTCTGCGGCGGTTCAGCCCTCCCGAGAGGCCCAACTCGCTGGCGGGCTCGCGCGCCCTGACCTCACCCTCCGGCCCTGGACGCCCCCTCCCAGGCCTCGGCAGCCCCCACCGCGCCCGGCCCCTCCTCACCGGTCAAGAAAACCCAGCCCAGCAGCGCCCCGCACAGCAAAGGCCCCGGGAGCCGGGCCATAGCCTGTCCCGCGTCTCTGCTCTGTTGTCTCGGTCTGGGAATGGAAGGCGGCACCCACAGGGCAACCTCCCGGGCTGGGCAGGGGCGAGACTGGCTATCGCAGAGCAAACAAGGGGAGAGGCCGGCGCCCCGGAGTAAGGAACCGCCTCTCCCTCCAGCCTCAGTTCTGGAACCATCTTGGCCCTATTCCTTTCTTCTGTCCTGCCCCCAATTTCCGAAGCTGTCAGGCCCTGGGAGAGGACTGGGCTGGGGATGGACACCTGAAGGGAAGGGGTCAGAACTGCATCTCCGGAGGGACAAGAATGCCCTGGAGGCCGAGGTCTGACCACCTGGGAGCTGGCAAATGACACTATCACTTTGGGGCCTCACACCAAAGACTCTTTGATGCCTTCAGAGATTCTAGTTCCTTCCAAGCCCCCCCTCTTCTCGCTGAGATCCCTTCTCTGGCATTTTTATCACCACTGGCTGGGGTAGGAGTCTCCATGGAAACTACAGACTCTTCCCTACTCCCATCGTCACTCCTTTTTACGGGCAGAGAGGCCGAGACTTGGAGGGGGTGTGTTTGTTAAGGGTTCGGGGGTCTGGAAGAGGGGAGCCCAGTCAGGCTCCTCTTCTCTGCCCTTGAGAGGAAGCGGAGAGTAAGTGCACACACGCCCAATGTCCGGAGCACTCGGACTCTAGCAGAAAGTGCACCGATTTCATCCCCTTGCTCCTCAGAGTGGGTTGGGTCTCCCCGGCCTCCAGCTCTTTGTGTCTCTCCCATGCCACCTGACAGCAACCCTCCCGAGCCAGTAAGGCAGAGGCTGCGTGGAGAAGCCATCCTAGGTACACAGCCTGGGTAGGGGTCCTCTTTGCATGGTCCTCAACATCTCCTGGGAATTCCAAGTTTGAAAAGGTGATTTCCATGCAAACACAATGTATCTTTATTGAAATTTGCAAAATAAAAAAAAAAAAACCATACACACACACATTTCAAGTTAGTTTCACAAATACCTTCCCTATCCCCTGCCCCCACAAAACCCAACCAAGCCAGCAGGACAGGTTAAATTAATGGAGCGAAGTGGGAGTGAAGGATGGTGTTAGATATGGGTGGGATAGAGATCAAGGGGGTCAGAGGACTCATTGATTGGCAGTTCCCACCAGGGCCCTGGGGTGGGGGAGGGTAGCCAATCTCAGCAGCATTCCTCTGCAGTGTTAGGGGGACTCCAGGGAGGGTTTAGGCTCTTCCTAATCCCAGGTCCATTTCCTCTTCTCCTTCTACCTCCTGGAAGTTTGAGCCTTAATTGAGACCCAGTGTTCTCCCAGTAGAGAAAGGTGGGGGTAGAAGACTGGAGATCTCTAGAAGGTGGCCACCCTCCCAGACTCAGGCCTCTGTGTTAGAGTGACCCCTACAGTAATTACTGTAGGAAGGAGGGAAACCAGATGACTCTGCCAATGAATAGCTGGGCCATCACACCAGAGACCCAGACTGCGTCTGGGCAGGCACCATCACAGGGACAGCACGCTTTGGACTCAGAGCAGAGGATACGACCCCACCAGGGCTAGATATGGGGGTCAGTGCACGAAGGCTGGGTGAGGGGGTCGATGCACCAGTCCTGGAAGGGTGTTGGGGTGGTCTGAGGGCTGGTGATGAGGTGACAGAGGACAGGGTCCCGTTCTTGGAGATTGTGTCTGAGCCCTTAGGCCAGGGCAGGGTCCGAGGAGCAATGGCATCTTCCCTAGTCATCAAAGAAGTAATGAGTCCAGAAACTGAAAGTAAGAGTTTCTACATACCTTGTCTTACTCCCTCCCAGGCCCCACCCCTTCAACTCTCCAGTCTCTTAAAATCTACCCATAGGAATCATGTTTCAGCTGCTGCCCACTCTTCCATCAGATGAGAGTTGTCTGAATTCCCAGCCTCTCTAAGGGGAGTTAGGAGAGCCCCATCTGGGCAGAGACCAGGGGCACTTACTTGATATCATTGGCTGGCTCCTCGAGGGCCTTGCCCTGGCGTTGGTACAGGAGGACCAGTCCAGCTAGCAGCCCCAATCCAATCAGGGTGCCCACAACAGCTCCAGCAACCACTGCAGCCCCAGGCCCTGGAACGACCTTGGTGTCAGAGGGCCACACCCAGCTGTTCCCCACCCCTCTCAAATCCGACGACCCCAATGCCACCATACACATTTTCTGTGTTCCCGTTAAGAAGAGATGGCTGTCAAGCAGAAAATGGTCACTGACCAAATATTTGCACAAACATTTGATCAAGACAAGTTCCTTGCCCTGTTACAATGAGAGGCCTCAGTAGACAGGCCTCCTCCCCTCTCTTGCGACCCCACCCCAACCACTGATCAATCTTCTCCTTAACCCCACTTACCCCTCACTGACCTGTGCTCACTTCCAGGGTCACATTGCAGTGGGCACTGCCCACCTCATTGTAGGCCTTGCAGATATAGACTCCAGACATAGAAGCGGAGAGGTTTTTGAGGCTTAAAGACCCACGGATGGTATCTGTGGACACAATTTAGCCATTAGGCCAGGGACCCTATTTCTCATTAAAAAAAGAAAATCCTGCCCCTTCTCTGGAATATCCTTTTTGACTCTCTGGGCAACACAGCTGTCTGTTCCCCGATGGAAAAGGTGTGACGTAAGCACACTGGGTTCCACCCCCATTTGCACAAGGGCTAGCTCAAAATCCCTCTCCAGCCCACAGCTCAGTGTCTCCAGCTGATTCCAAAAGGAGGCTAACAAAGAAATGATACCCAGAAAAAACAAAACATGATTTTCATTTTTATTTCTAAATGGCAGAGTGGTGTGAGAGAAAGAACATTGGGCTAGGAGTGAGAAAACCTGGGTTCTAGAATAGGCCATGTGACTTTAAGCAAGTTACTTGCTATCCTTGGGCCCCGATTTCTTCATCTGTAAAATGGGATAATATGGCCTCCTGATAGTGTTGAAAGAATGGTATGAGATAATAATTATAACAGTTAAGTGTATTGGAGGCTTATGGCGCACCAAAGACTAAGTTCTTTATATTTACTAATTTACAAAAGTTTCAAAACAAACCTATGAGGTAAGCACTATGTAAAAAATATTAAAAATTATTATAAATTGGTCAAATAAAAAGTAGCAAGAGGGACAAAATGAAAATCCTACCACCTAGATCCAACAATTGCTAACATTTTGCTATACTTAATTTCCTTACTCTTGTTTTCTGAGACGTTTTAAAATAACGACTTCGGCATAAATCTCCAAAAATGAAGGCCACTGCCCCACATAACCATATACTACTGCCATACCTGATAATTCTCTAACAGCATCTAATACTCCATACTAAGAATGACCCATCGATTAGATCTCATAAACACTGAAAAAAAGGTTCCAATTTCCCCCAAATGACTTGTATAGCTGGTGTGTTCAAATTAGAGCTACTGACGCCCCACTTTAAAAATGAGGAAACAGCCCTGGCCGGTTTGACCCAGCAGTTGGAGCATCAGCCTGCAGACCAGAGAGTCCCAGGTTCAGTTCCCCCTAAGAACAGGTACCAAAAAATTTTTTTAAAAAATGAGGAAACGGAGGCACCAAGTCACACAGCTAGTGAGCAGCAGAGCTGGGATCTTAATGCAGATGTCTAGCGCTCCAGCCCCGCCCCCCGCTCCCCCCCCCCCACTTTAAAGCACTGCCTTCCTTTTCATCGGACCCTCTGGCACTTCTCATCTTTTTCCTACCCCAGCCCCAGTCCCTGGTGTCTTCAGGGCCCCTCACCTAAAACTGGTGCAAAGAAAACCTCGGCAGATGGGGGTGACCGCTCCCACTCGTACTGGGCAATGGGCTTACTCCTTGGAGACTGGCAGCTCAGGGTCACGTTGGTCCCCACACGGGGCACACCCAGGAGATGGCAGGATGGAGGAGCTGGAGGGACTGGGGGAGGGGAGACAGGTTAAAAACTCACACTCAAGACCAACAGACACCCCCCCACACACCAACTTCTGCACACATACCCCTTTGTCATCCATTTGCCCCTCCTCCAAAGTTACACTCAGTCATTTGGGGAAGAGACCTGCCTGACCTCCCATTGGTGGGGGGGGGGAGGTATTAGAAGGTGTGTGCTTCTTACTTACTCAGCACATCCAGTGTTAAAGTTTTGCTGCTGTGGCCCCTGCTTTTGCCTTGACGGTCTTGCACATTCAAAGAACAGCGGTAGGACCCAGAGTCTTTCTCCTGGAGGCCCTGCAGCCTCAGGGACACATTCCGGGAGGGCATGGCGTAGACCAGGGATGCTCCAGGTTGGCTTGTTGTGACCCCATTGATGTATGCCAACACCTGGTGTGGGCATAAAACCTCCTCATTATTACATACCTGCACTGTGCCCACAGGCTCAGTCAATGCCCTCCCCCAAACTGTCAGACCTCAAGTGCCCCTCACCTGCACCCATCTCCTCTACCCTGTACAGCTGCCCATTGACCCCTGTCTCCCTGGCCACCCTCTCACCACCCAGGATGGTTCTTGATTCCCTGTGTATTGTGTCTTCATCTCACACTTGGAATATTTGGAAAGGTGGTAATAGGGGTGAGAGAATGTAAACGGGTTGTGTATGAAAGAATTTAGATTGCAAGGGTGTACCCGAGAGTTAAGGAGATCTTTTATCTTCTTTATCTTGACGATGTCCCCTACCCACACCAAATGTGTATGTTCAGGCCCTATGAAACCAGGATCTACCCCTGCAATCGAACTTTCTTTCACCCATATCCTTATTTATCAAATGACCTCCTGAAGACACTTTCCAGGGCTTTGGAAGAAGCCATGCAAGTAAGGGGCTCTGAAAATTAAGTGTCCTTGGCCCCTCTGTGAGTCCTCTGCCTCTGACCTACATATGTCAGGAAAGAGGCTAGATGGGAGATTGTGGGAGACTGTCCCTTACCTCTCAAGGTGGGTATAAGAGGCAGTGGCCTGTGACTGTCCAAAGCACAAAGCATATGAAAACACATTGATACTCAACTTTAAAGAGTTGTGTGAGCCCTGGCCAGTTTGGCTCAGCGGTTAGAGCGTCGGCCTGTGGTCCAGAGAGACCCGGGTTCGGTTCCCGCTAAGGGCATGTACCTTGGTTGCAGTTTGTCCCCAGCCCTGTTTGGGTTGTGCAGGTGGCAACCACCCGATGTGTCCCTTTCACGTCGATGTTTCTCTCTCTCCCTCCCTCCCTCCCACTCTATCTGAACAAAATATGGAAAAATGTCCTCGGGCAAGGATAAAAAAATAAAAAAAAGTTGGGTGATACTCGCCCTAACTCTTCCCATCTCAACCCCCAATACTGGCTTCCCCATGCCCATGGCAAAGGAAATCGCCTCTTCACTTTTCATGCTTTGTGTGCTAGCTTTCTAGGGAAAGTTGGGGAAAAGAGAACTCTTGTGGAACACTCCAAGATCGGAACAAAATTAAACCGGTGAGGAGGCCCTTGCTTTTCCCAAAACTTTTTCCTGTCCCATCACCTTCCCCATCACCTTCCCCCTCCCCTGAGTTGCCATCCCCGTCCCCCTGCCCCCACTGGGCAAAGCTGAGGTGCTTTCCTCCCTCACCTGTTTCAGATCCTTCCCACTCTGTTCCAAGAACCACATTAAGGTGAGCACCTCCAACGGCGGCTGGGCCAAAGTCGTCTCCCCGCGATAGGTGTACCACGCCGGGAGCACCACCTCTGCTCCCTCCACTGCCCGCAGCCGGGTGAGGCCGGCAGGCGTGTGCAGCTGGAGCTGGGCGCACGCGGGGGGTGCTAGGGAGGAGAGCAAGGAGGCTTGAGCGCAGACCGCCCAAGGCCGGCCAATAGGAAGGACGACCTCACGAGTCCCGCCCCCGGAGGCTCGAAGACCAGCGGGAGACCGGGAGACCGAACCTAGAACCAGCTTTCAGTGTCATCCGCTTATTCTCTGACACCTCGGCCTTTGGGTTTGTAGCAGGGGGGACACAATTACGTGCCATTTAGTTGTATCCAGAAGCGCAGATTTCCAGCAAGGAGGGGAAGACATCCATGAGGAAGAGCAGATTTAATACTTTTTGTGTACGTTCTGCTTAGCCCACTTGCTCCCCCAGTTTACCTGGGGTGGGGATGGGGGTTGGGAGTAAAGATCTGAGCGTTCCTTGCCCCTGCTTTCTCGACCAGAGGGGTTGGGAGGCCATAGGTTACCCCGTGGCTCCTGCTCAACTCCCCAGAGCTGAGACTGAAGCATCCCAGTGACTGCTGTGTTCCCCACCCAGCCCCTCCCCACCTCCTTAGCCCTAACGTATGCTCTTCCTAGGAAAGAGATTTGTCACCCAGAAGCCTCCCACAGGCCCTTTTGGGATCCAGGCATTCTGGGCCGGTCCTCTGAGGTCGCAGGGACTCTGCAGAGCTGGGACACGAATGAAGGTCCCCAGCATTCAAGTACAAAGTTGTGGCTGCATGTGTCCAGCGTCCAGGTGGACTGGGGCGCTGGTTTCAAAGAGGGGACTAGCGAATCAGTGCTGCACCTCGGCTCCAGGAACACTCACCTTTTGCCCTTTGGAGAGGCAAAAAGGCAGCCAAGTCCTAAGCCATTTTGGAGGAATACTATCTCGGGGCTCCTACCTGGCCGAGCCTGATGATGCTGGCCGCCCCTAGGCCTCGGCACTCGGCACTGCCACCTCTGCGGGATGACCAGGCGGCCAAGGCCAGGAGCACACCAGCCAGGATGCGCGCCGCCCCCACTGCTTCCCGCTGCGCGCTTCTTTAGCCCGCACACCTATTCCTTAGCCTTCGCGGCACCCCCCTTTCCCGTTTCCTGGCGAGTCCCAGTGGCCCGGGCAGGAAACTTGTGCCCAGCGATAAGCTCGAAGACAATGGTGTGGGGGTGGGGGGAGCACGGGCTGAAGGCCCTACGGCTGGAAACAGCCGCCGCCTCAAGGAGCGCAACACCCCCAGGGCCACGGCCTCGGGCGGGCCGCTTCTCCCGGCCTTTCTGCACTGCTCCCGGAAGCCAGGCAGTTCTTACAGGAAACCCGCCGCACTGCTCAGCAGCTGCCCCCAGGTCCCCTGTGTCATGGCATCTTGCAAGAGGTAGAGGGGAGTTAAGATCGATAGTAATGAACAAACTTCTGGACAAATGCCTCCTGTCTTATCCGCGGATCAGAAAGCAGATGAAGAGGCCAGAGGCTTTTGCCTTGGGTCCTGGGTGGACACTGGAGCAGAATTCCCCAACTCTTGGTCCCTTTTTGCTTCAGGGTCCACAGTGCCATCAGAAGAGAAGGGAGTGGTTGGGTTTGGTCGAAGGAGAGCTGAGCGGCTCAAGAAAGGGACCCTCTGGCCCACTCCCCAGAGCAAGGGCAGAAAAAGAATGAAATGGGCCTGCTCCCCAGGGCTACTATTTTTAGTCTCCCTCCTTCTCTGAGAAACTCCCCCCGCGGGCTTCTCACGCCCCAGGGGCAGCAGAGCTGGGCCACTAAGGAGCTCAGAACACAAGGGCCTCCCAGAAAGTCCAAGTGGGCAGAGCCAGTGCAGGCCCTAGAGCCTTGGTCCCCAGTGACATTTAACCCTTGCATAGCTGGGGGAGCTCTCTAACATCCCTCCCACCAGGTAGGGCCCTTGAATCTGGGAAGTCACTGAAAACTGAAGCTCAGAGTTTAAAAAAAAAAAAAAAAAGAGTGCAGGATGCTCAGGCAGCCAACTGGTATTTCTCTCCCTAGCTTCGGGGACCCCCCCCCCCAAGCAGGAAGGAGGATGGGGGATTTGGTGGGTAGAATGCAGGAAGAGGCCCTGAGGTTGGAGTTGGGGGTGCTGAGAAGTTGTACCCTGTACAGGCCCGCCAAACCTAAAGGGGCAGGAAGCTTGTCCAGGCTTTGGTGGCTGGTGAGCTACTTTTGAACGCCTCTGTCTGGTGGCCCCAATACTTCATACCCCAACATCCTTGCAGCACAGGGGACACACATGAGGATTTGGTGGTCCCCATCTCGGCTGAATTTCACTCTACATCTTTCCTAGCCTTACTGGCGACTTCCAACCTGAGAGAAATGAGTTCAAGCGGACTCCGCCTAACCCACCCTTCACCCTGACTTGGGATCCTTGAAGAGGAATGGCAAGTCTGGGAGGTAGCAGTGGAACAGGCTTAGTTCCTGCTGGGTCCTTCGCTCCACAGTTGGGCCACCGTGAGTTCCGGACACTCCTGAAGTCTTCAACACTCCTCAAGCACAGGCTCCAAGGAGGTGGCCTTCCTCTCTGACTCTTTGGGGCCCTCCTCTATACATCCTATGTCCCTTTGGCCCCAGGAACCAAAGAGGCTGGTGGACCTCTTGTGAGGGGGGTGTCACAATTCTGCTCCTCTAAGCATTCAAACCCCTCCCCCATTTCCTGTATCCCAAATGACCTCACGGTTGTACTTTTGGGGCACCTCCCTCAATTCCCAGGGCAGGAAGCAAGAGGAGGGGGCCGAGGGAGGATCTGGGCTAGGGGATCGAAGCGATTGAAGTGAAGTGCGGGTGTCAAGCCCAGACCAGGGAATTCCCGGGGGAGGGGGACTTTAGTGTGTCAGCTTGTGTGTGTGTGTGTGGGGGGGGGGGGCAGGAGAGAAGCTGGAGTTAAGTCCTTAAGCTCTTTAGCCAGTGTCTCATCTAGCAGCTCAGCTCATCCGGCTCTGCTGGGTGGTGGTAGGGAGTGGGGGTGAGGTATGGTTCCACTGGCTCACCCCAGAGGTCTACCCTGGCGATGCTTAGCCCTCTCCCCCAGCACACACCCGAACTGGAAGTGGGAGCTGTCCCCAAACAGCAGGACAGAGTCAGTACCAACAGTGATACCCTGGGTGGGGAGAGGAGGGAGTGTGTGTGGGGGTGGGGTGGGGTGGATAAGAGCCAGATGGGGGTGTCCCACCCAGTTCCTCATCAAGCCCCAAACCAGCTCCCTCAGGGCTGGAGTCACCCCATCTCCCATCTCAAGTCCCCTCCTGTTCTGGGTTTAACTCACCGAAGGTACTCAGACCCAGGAACAAAACCTGCAGCAGGCTGGTCGCAGGGGACCCGGGCAGGGACACCATGGCCTTCCCTGGCCCGATGGTCAGGGGCGCTGGCTCTGGGACACAGTGCCGGACAGGTACCAAGGCCGCGCACCAGCGGAGCGGAGCCGACTAGGGAGCCGGGCCACTGACACGCCAGAGGGCAGCTCTAGCCAGAGTGTGTTCGTGTGTCTGTGTGTGTGTGCAGCCGGTGGCGGGGTGGGGACAGGCAGGGACAGGGGGCGGGGCATTCGAAGGGGCGGAGAGGTCGCTGTCTTCCCGGGCGGGGCGCACGGGTGACCCTCCTCATGCTGTGGGATCTAGAGTTCTTGACCTTATCAGCACGCAGGGTGGGGTGGAGTAACCGGGTGTGCTCACAGCGGCCTGGGGCAGGGAAAGACAAGTGTCCTGAAGGTCACAGTGCAGCCACAATCTCTCCCTCCGAGGGATGGGTGGGAGGATGGAAAGGAGGAAGGTTTGGGGATTCCCCGGTATCCAGGGGCCACTCACACCCCAACGCCGCAAACGGCCGGGCTCTGACCCGTTAACTGGGTCTAAGCCTAACCCCAGCAGCTTCCTGAAGGAAGAAGAGGGGAACGGAGTTTTCCCGGGGCCACTGGGTCTCTGCAGTGAGGGGGACGGGCAGGGAGGCCCTCGGCCAGTCCAGTAGTCCGAATGATCACTTTCCCAGGGCGGGGGGTGGGGCGGCAGGGAGTGCTGGGCCTCCGGAGCCGCGTGGAGGAGGGGTCAGGGGGTGGGTTAGGGCCACCTCTGCGGGAGAAGTGAAGCCCGAGGCCGCCCCACAGGAGGCCCGGCCCGCGAGAGACACGCTGGCGTGGGGACGCTGGGACCTTCTTCGCCTGTGGGAGGCGAGGGGAGGGCTCGCCGCATGTTCTCGGGGATGCCCTGCCGCATGTTCTCGGGGATGCCCTGAACCCTGGCCCGAGGGTTACTAGGTCTAGTGCCTGGTCCCACGAGCTGGGGAAAGACTGGTAGGAAGGACGCCCCGGGAGTTGAGTGGGAAACTAAGGCAACAGGAGACACTCACCTTTGCAAACATCCTGCCCTGGGCTTTTTGCTGCCTGGGAAGGAGGGGGCTGGGGGGAGACGGCAGAGAGCCCCTCCGTGGCTTTATTCCCCGTTGTCTTCATGGCCTCCCTGCGACACTGTAATTCTCTGGACTAAATCTGGTTCCCGCGAATTTAATTTAACCGCCCCTCCCCCGCCCCCTGCGCCCCCTGCGCCCCCTGGCGGCCGAGGCCCCCCTCAAGGAAGCGCACGCACCTGTTCCTGCTGCTCTGCCCAACAGCCCCAACAAAGATGCTTCAAACATCCCGGCACAGCTCAACCTCCGCGCAAAGGCCACCGAGGCCGCAAAGCGCAACCACGGACTCCTGGCGCTGCCTGCTCTGGGCGACAGTTGGCTGGGAAGAAAGTAGCCAGGCTTCCTGGATTCCAAAGAATTCTGGCCTAAAACTGAGTGTGGAACTTGTGCCTACACTGCACACAGACCCTCCCAGCTGCTTCTTCCTAGTGTGAGTCGCCTGGTTGCTCTTTAAATAACTGCCAGGCAGCGGCTTTGAGAAATGCCTATGCAAACACACTGCCAGTGTGAACTCTGGAATCGCATAGTGGGAGCTCAGTGGCAGCAAAGGTAACAGAAATAGATAACTGCCAGTCTCATCCCCTTACACAGGGACCTACAAATATGAAATCGTCAAGTAGACTGCGTGTGTGTGTGTGTGTATGAGTTGGGGGGGTGGGTGGGAGCTACTGGTTTGGTTTTTCTATTCTATCACACTCTTAATTTTTCTTGACTTTAGTCAACATTGCAAACCACCTCTTGTAAACAACCCTCCGTTGTTTGCAGACCAGGGTTAAGTCACCCCAAACCAGGGTTAAGTCCAGAAACACAATACAAAGTCTCTTGGTTGTATATCCCAGGAATACCAAAGCACCTAGTTACACGGGCTGTGCTTATCCCTGTTAAGTGCTACCTACGGTATAGTCTCAACACTCATTCTCTGTAGCTAACTTTTTCTTTGGAATTCAGATCCCAAATAATTTGCAACATTGGAAGGAAAGCTGCAACTCAAGATTTGTAGGCAGTGAGTGTTTCCATGTGGCACAGCGCCAGTCCCATCAGGACCCTTTTACTGCCCTTGTCCCATTCAAGGAATTCCCACATGATCTCCTATTCCAACCCCTTCTTCTTCTGACCCTGGGACAGCCAAGTGGTGAGCTCCATTTAAGTTTTTGCAACAATGCACTGTAGGGTGAACACTGCTCCCTTGTGTAAAATGAGAACATTGGCACAGATGACCTGCGTGACCTAGGAACTGCCTGCATAACCGTGCTGTGTGCAAGAGCAAACCACAGTTCCGTATGTCAAGAGACTTGCAGGTCATTAGCATTTCTCAGTCACACCTCATCTTACATCTCTAAAGTATTTTCTGATGCTGATTCTTAGTTTGAATAGTGTCTCCATCCCCCCTGAATCAGTTATAAGGCTTCGTTAAGGTCTACATAGTCTACTTTCTGTTCTTTAGCAATGCTCATGTAGTTATCCGACACCCTTCTTTTCTAGAATGTTCTGGCCAAAGACTGGATATTCAGTATTGACAAACTACTTTCTTTCTAGGTCTCCATTTTCCAATGCTCAGCTTTGTCCTCTTGGGGCCCAATGGTGAAATCATGGACTAGAGCACGGCTGCCATCTTCCATGCTGCTCACGGTGGTGAGGCAGTGCCCCCTCTCGGTCATGAGAGGCAGATCTAAAATGTCTCAAGCAATGGTCACAAAATGCTCTGCTAAATACTAAACAGCAGTGGAAAGTGGGACATAAAAAAAATGCACGAAGCATAACGCTAGTGTCGGGGCTGCTCAGTGGCGGAGTTTTAGGGATGCCATGTAGTGCTGGGAGTAATGCTTTTTCTGCAGCACTTAGACCTAAGACTGTGAGATTACTGCTACAAGATGGTCAGTGGAGCCTCAGCCTGTAGGACTACAACTTCAAGTTCCAGAGAAGAGCAAACTCAGAATTTTCTAAGGCCTGTACCTGAAGACTGTGCCCAGGGAGAAGCGTTGCTACACTCAAACACTCCATGCTATTCATACTCTCTGAACCAGCAACGCTTTTAGCAGCTCACATCAAAAACCCCACAAGTCTAGACTCAAATGACATTGCTTATAAACCTCCAGCCATTAGAAAAATAAGCATCAGCCAACCAAGAAGTATCAGAATGAAAAAATTACTGGTGGTGGGAAAGAAAATAATAATAAAATAATAATATGCAATTATATCTCCAATAGCATAGAAAAACAGGGAGAATTATAGCTCTTACCTGGATTTGCAGTCCATTTAAAGTAGAGCACCTGAGAGATGTTAGGGAATCTTTTAAATACAACCAATCTAACAAGTTCCCACCATGACACCACAGTGAGCTCTGACTACTACCAGTGAGCTGGCTCTAGCCAAGAGTACTGACCTCGACGTGCCAGTTAGCCCTGAGAAATCTCTGAAAGATCGAAACACGAGTTACCTTCCTAATGGACTGACGCCTCCCACTTTCCTACCCTATGGATCATTTTAAAACTTTCTGGGTATTTCTGTGCCTCTCCTCTCCTTTTTCACAGGCAATATGATGGCATCAATTCTCCACTTTACTCCTTGAGTTGCCCCTGATTACTGAGTATAAAGATGAGAAATGAAAGTCTCTTACACATTAGTGTTCTTAGGGTCAGAAGGAACATCCTAGTCGTTTCTTAAAAAGAAATACAAAATGAAACATCCAGTGACCTTCCGTACACTCTGAGAAGAAACAATGACATTGGTCGGTGGGTGCAGAGAGCCAGAAAGTGAAGATGCTCTGCTTGTCCTGTTCATTCCCAGCAGTAAGTCAGAGCGCAGTGCCCACTGCCAGTGTGGCCGCACTCGGCTACAAAAAGCTCAACTAGTACGCCAAGAGGCCAGGAAGTACTTTAATTTCTTTTTTTAAAAAGTTGAGACGGCAACACAACCGTAAAGTTGGTACATCACAGAAACAAAGGTCTTTGCAGGCAACACTGACTGGGAATAGCAAAACACTTGGTTGGTGAAAAAATGAAACTCTAAATTATATACAATAGTAGCTAGAGGTGATATTGAAAAACAGTCTTATTTCCTGTGACTCAAGATTTAACTTGCCGTTATCTATTGCTTATTTATTCAGGGTCGTAAATAATACTTATATAGAGACATAGAGATGTGTAAAAATGAAACACTGTGAAAAAAATACAATTTTTCAATTTCATATGAAACTCAAAGTATAAGTTTTGTCCAATATGGAATGTACCTACATTTGTTTATATTAGGGCTCTAATATCCGTTAAAAACTTTTTTGTTTTTAAAAAAGAAACAGCTGACCCACCATGCAAGTTCACTGGTAAATCTCATTTGCTCGAAATGAGCGTTTTCAGGTGAGGTCTGTTCTGTTTGCTCAGAGTCTACGGTGGTTCCATAGAAGCTGTGCTGGCCCGATCGCGCCGAGTTTCCACGGAGTCTGAGGCAGCACCTGGATGAGGGACAGTCTGAGCCGTGGGAAAGAGCAGGGAGGTGAGAGCCCACACCCTTGTGAAGGATGACATTCAGTTGTTGAATTTCAAGGGGTACCCGACGGCTTTTTCCAGGCACTCAACTAAGGAGCCAGCGGAAAGAAAATCTCTCTCTACTTCCACAAACTTGATGTAGATGGATTTGGGGGACACTCCAGGATCCACAATGCAGTTCTGAGACAAAAACCCATTAATACCAACCCAATCTTTGCTGAAGGTTTTGGTATTTGCTTGGAAATGTAAAAATAAGCACTGCTGCAGAGTCCTAACCTCAGCGATCCCGAGGTAGCAATAGGTAATCCGGGTGGGTTCTATCTCTACCTGTAAGGAGGCTTGTGCTGAAAGGGTTTCCAAGTCAACCCTGCCCTCCTTTCCTGGGTCCAGGGAACTCTGCTCCAGGTGGGGTGAGGAGGGCCTCTCAATACACTCTTCATAGCCAATGGCATAAAGGCCCGGGCTTTTGGGAATGCCTCCTGGCAATAAATACTGAACAACGTTCCCACCAGTGGGTTTGGAGTGGGCGATGGGTATCCAGTCAATTTCCATGTGCAGCTCCAGGCACCTCGCTTCACTTATGGTGATCTCTAAAAATTTGTAGTAAACATTTTTCCAGTTCATTTTCTGCACTCGGGTCATAACAATCCGTCCCTCGGGCTTCTCGGAGTTGAAGTACTCCCGGAGTCGCTTGCCCAGGGGCACCTGGGAGCTGATCTCAGCATAATGGTAACGAATATCCTCTTTCCAACGGGTGTTATAACCAATCCCAAAAATGGCCAGTTTGTTAGAAAGATGAAGCCTTGAAAAGTCTGTCCAGCTCTGAAACAGTTCCCATTTCAACTGTACTGATTCCAAAATCTGTACAATGTTCTGCATGATGTCTCTCTTCCTAGAAAGAGAAATAAAAATCAAATTCCTCAGGTGTCTAGGTCAGCACCGCCCAACAGAACTTTCTGCAATGATGGAAATATCCTACATCTGTGCTATCCAATACGGCAGCCATTAGCACTTAAAATGTGGCCACTGTGAGGTCTTTTTATGTATAATGTAAAATTATGGTTAAATAAATACATGTGATCAGTAGCTTCCATATTGGACAGGGCAGGTCTAAACAACCATAGTATTAAAATCCGAGAAACACTCCCCTAGGAAGTTTCTAGGAATTGATGATAAACTGCTCTCCATTACTTATATGGGCTGGCTGTGTTCATCTTAGCAACTGTTGATACCTAAGACCCGAGGACTTCAGAAACTGAGGGATTATTCATTGTTTTAAGTGGTTATTATAATGTGCATGATGGCCTTCAGACCTAACTACCAAAAGCAAGTGAAGAATGCTGTATTCAGAAAGGTATCTAATGTCACTTAAACTAATGAACATCTTAATTTCTAAGCTGGAAATTCTGAAAGTTCAATAATTTTGGCTAATACATGCTTGCTGTAAGAAAATAGACAATCGATTTTGAGTAATGACCTGATGAAAAAAGAAAATATCTTCTTCTATCTGTCAGAAATTCATTACTACTCCCAAATTTAAAAGAACTGTTAGTTCAACATAGAATTAAAATCTGAGAATTCAGATAGAAAGGTCCACAGTAGGCTCAGCTTTTATGGGATAAACATTCAAGATAATGAGCCCTGACTGGGTGCTCAGTTAGAGGGACATCGTCCTGTACACCAACAGGTTGCGAGTTCAATTCCCAGTCAGGGCACATGCCTAGGTTGTGGGTTTGATCCCCGGTCAGTGTGCATACGGGAGGCAAACAACTGATGTTTCTCTTTCTCTCTCTCCTTCCACGCTCTCTAAAATCAATAAAAAAAAATACCCTCAAGTGAAGATTTAAAAAAAAGAAATTCAAGATAATGAATTGAGACTATTCTAGAAAATATTTTATAAAAGGAAAAAGTAAAGAAATTTCCATTTTGATCTGGTTTTGGATAGTTAACAGAGCTAAGACAGAAACGGCAGGAAATTCTTGTTGCATATGCTGTTGAACTCATGTAACTAAATACCTCATGATTCGTCTATATGGGGATATGTAATTACAAGTTTGCTTCTCAGGTATGACAAAACTTTGATATTGAAGTTTGAAGGATTTTAAATATTCACTTGGCAACAAATTATTACCCTCTACTACAAGTATAGACTTAAGCTACAAAAATACTTAACTACCACTTACATACAATTGAACATGTACAAGAAAGAGGGTGTGTGTGCCAGTTTACTAACAGCTTCTCGGGAGGAGACAGACCCTGGAAACTTCCTATTATGTTCTCGAATCTTCCAGGGGAAAAGCTTTTGGAACAACCCGGGGAATCTCCCATGCAGTCCTTCTGAGTCTGGCCTCTTGTTCTCCTTGGCTTTCTCTGTGAGGGGACAGAGATGACACGTTTTGCTATCAGCTGCTTCTTGGGGCCAGAAACTGCCCTGGATTTATCCTCCACCCTTCAGTTTGTCTTGAAAGCTTCTCAAGTACCAGAGTGGCCATCTAGATGAAATCATTGTGTTCTTGGGGGACTTGTCCTTCTTCTCAGAGGACACAAAGGCACTTGCCCACTTTTCTAATATTAATACTGGGCTACTTGTGAGGTTAAGATATAGGACCATGTTTCTGCATGGGTCAATGCTTAAAAAATAAAACCCTTCATAGCTACCATCCTTCCTTATCCTCTTTTGAAATATTTTACTGATCTCAAGGAGGACTAGGCTAAGGAGTTGGGATGGAAGGCAGAGATTTTTGTCTGCTCACTGATGTTACTCAGTGCCTGACATACAGTGGGTACTTGATATATCTATTGAACAAATGACTGTTGCTCATGAATGAAGGATGGCATTTAATACAGGTTAGGTCAGCTAGTTCAGGCCGATCCCACCTACAACACACCGAGAAAGAAATCCAATACCCAAATGAATGATTTTACTCAACACCATCAAAGGCCTAAATCAGCAGTCGGGAGCAGCGCTGAGCAAACTGCTGCCGTGGGTCAGACTGCCTGGTGGGAACCTCTCTAAACCCTCTCGCCTGCGAGCTGAAGCCTGGAGCGGGGGCAGCACGGGCTAATGTCCCGCGGAGCCTGTGCTGAGCAGGCTCAAGCTCCCCGGGTTAAGACACCTGGCTTTTCGGAGCTCTAGGGCACAATGATAACTAGACCCTGTGGTTGAAATGGTCCTTGAGAACTGGCACATTTCCTAATTTTTTTTTTCTTTATTGATTTTAGAGAGAGAGGAAATGAGAGGGAGAGAGAGATAGAAACATCAATGACAGAGAACATCGACTGGCAGCCTCCTGCATGCCCTCCTCTGGGGATTTGGCCCACGACCTGGGAATGTGCCCTGACCGGGAATCGAACCGGCGACCTCTTGGTGCAGGGTCGACGCTCAACCACTGAGCCACACCGGCCGGGCCACATTTCCTAATTTTTGAAATGCCAACCATAGGAAAAGTTCAGGTGGTTTGAGGTTGGTGACACCGATTCTGTGCAGTTTGAGTTCATCCCCGGTTACATCACCTGAGCCTCCTCTGCAGGTCCCAAGTGGTTAAAGGGAGAGATGGGACATTATTGTGACAGATATGATGGCCTCTTTGGAGAATAGGGGTCTGAAGGTGTGGACTCATGTTTTAAAATACCCATCCAGGTTACCCTTCCTCTGGGATATTCTGATGTCATAATTTTAAAACCAACAGGAGATGGCCTCAAACTTACTTAAGTCATAAACTTTTTTGAGGAGTAGGAAATTGTTACAATTTGGGGGAACAATTAATTCTTGATCCCTAAACTTTCACCCTTGCCCAGACAGGGAATCAGAGGACACTGGGAATTCTCCAAAGAGCTATTCTGAAAAAGGAACAAACATTTGAAAGGGGTGGTGGTGGTGGTGGTTTGCTGAATGAAAAGAACTAATATTTCTTCATTGTGTTGCTTGTTTTCTAACATGGTCCTCTCCACTTTGCCTCTTCCTTTTCCCTTTTTCTCCACCATCTCTAAAATACCAGGATCATATGTGTGAGTGAAATATACCAGGACAGCCCTGGCCGGTTTGGCTCAGCCATTAGAGCATCAGCCCACGGACTAAAGAGTCCCGGGTTCGATTCCGGTCAAGGGCATGTACCTCAGTTCTGGTTCGGCCCCTGGCCCTGGTTGGGGTCATGTGGGAGGCAACCAGATGCTATGTCTCTCTCATGTCGAAGTTTCTGTCTCCCTCCCTTTCTATCTGAAAATAAGTGGAAAAATATCCTCGGGTGAGGATAAAAAAAAAAAAGAGGAAAACAGAAATATACCAGGACAAGTGTGTGCTGTGGACACTCCAAGGTTACCAGCTGCAAAAAATGATGTTTCTCACTTTCCTCCTTTTTATATCTTTTAATATATTCTCCTCAATAATTACATTTCATCAGTGATTTAGTTAAAGTTATTTAAAGAACTGCAAACAGTGTCATTGGAAACTCCGAGAACTCTGACGTCCTTACAAAAGACATAATGCTAAACTCTCGGAGGAAGGATCAGAGGACGGGAGCCAGTGGGAGGCCCTCGGACATTTCAGTCTCACCCAGCAGCTGCTTTGCTTTCCAAATGTACGACTCGGTCATCTAAGAGCTTGCTTTTCGATCCCCAAATGTAATATTATAAGAAACTACAGTGTCCCTCTAGCCCTCCTATCATGTCACCTATCGCCAGACAAACTCGGGGTCCCGGGACTCATCTTTCCATCTTACTTAAACACCCAGGTACCCACATCCGCACACAGGCAAACGCTACAAACATGCTTGTTTTCATGTCATATATTTATTTCTTCTGGCTGTATATCAACTTCTCAGCATTTTAGATGAATCACTGGAAAACTTGAGCCAATAAAACGAGGACTGGCCAGACGTGCTTCCCCAGTGAGGTGGCTTGAGGGACACCCTCCCGTGAAACAGATAAACACATCTGGTAGAAAGGGGAAGCAGCTACTCACTGTGCTTCTTCAGAAGACTCTTGTTTTATTTTTAATGTTCTCTTTGTGACAGGTATTTCATCTGAAAGGCAAAGTTTTGGAAACAAATTATATTCTCCCAAGTGGTGACATACATTTATGTAGATAAGTAGCTATATGTTTACTGTTCATTTCACACTTTCCAACTCGAGGACTTAATTCTAGTCTCAAACACTGCCCAACGCCAGCTTTACAAATATAACTCTTATATAATGGAATGCATACATTCATATGCAAGATCAGAAACCAGCTCTACAAGTATAAAATTCCTCAAGGTCACCAGTATATTTCTAGCTAGGGGCTTACACCTTAATTCCACTGCAAACATGATTTTTAAAGGAACAAGAATGAAAATAATTCTGTGCTATTAGATTTTCTATGTAGGTTTTATGGAGGAATTATTTCCCCAATACCAGGATCAACATATTCTGCATGTTATTTTTTCCCCCAAGATTTGGGTGACTTAACTCTCTCTGGCAAAACCAGAGTTACAGGATGCCAAAGTACTTTAGACCTCGCTGCTGTTGCAGAATGAAGAGGGACTGATCATAAAGCGTCTGCCCCTTTTATTTTTCCAATCTTTAAGTCTCTCTCTTAAATTGTTAGTCTTATATTTATAAAGCCTCTTTCTTCTCACCCTCTCTCTTCCAATATTTGAGACTTAAAAAAACCACACCAGCATTCATAAGAAATATTAGCGTTTATTCCTGTTTCTTTTGAATTAGCATCAGGAACGATGGCAGAGAAAGGCGATTCTCTTGAGCTGGGGAAGCACACTGACCGCGCCAGCCCTCCTGTGCTTTCTTGGGGTTGCCTGAGAACCTCACTGGGGAGCGACAGCATTTACTTGTAAGTGCGTACTCAGCACACAACTTCCTATTAAGGTACAATGGCTGCAGCTTGACCAGGCCTTCTAAATCATGAACATCAAAACTGGAGCATTTACTACAAAAAGCAACTTCCATCCACCCTCTTAATTAGGCCACACAGGTTTCGATTTGGTGGCCAGCGGTTTTATTTTCCATTTTTAATGTTAAGATGGTGGATAAATCATTTCAGCTGTTGTTGGAATGGGATCCTTTATGAAGTTTGAAGGGCTGCGATTGCTGATGAAGTTCAAAATGAGCCCTTTTTAAGATAAACCGAGGCTTCCCTTCATATTCTGTTCAGACTGAAGTCTGGGAGGAGACCATTTCCAAATGACAAACAGAAAAGGGAAAAAGAGGTTACATCTATACAGTCGAGCCAGGAGTGAACACCCGTGGCGGGCAGGGCGGAACTGAGGGAGGCAGGACATTGACACGGCAGCGTTCTGTCGCCGAGCCTCCTGTGTAGCTCAGAACGAGGACTTCTTCTGTGCTGGCACCCAAAGCACCAAGTGACCAACACCAAGCACTAGCTGGCAGTTTGAGGTTAAACCAAGGATGCCCAAAGTGCCCCAATAAACGGGCGACATCCTTGCGCGGAGAGTGGAGTGGTACAGTCCTGGTGCATATGAAGGTATATAGAGATAGACACACACGAGTAGCAGATAATCGGCTTTCTTACCCAATTCCTGATCTGTTGGGTAGCCATGGAGATCCTGACTGTGGTTTCCCCAGTCCTCCTGTGAATACTCCTCCATAGTGCTGCCATCTGACTCCAGCTCCTGGTACAAGCCACTACTGTTAATAAGTACAGGCTGGCAGGGCTGAGCATCCCATCCTCCCTGACCAAACACCTGTTCCAACTGTTCAAATGTGTAACTGCTCTTTCTTTTCCCAACACCATGTTCTTTCACCCGACTGTAACACCTGCGAAGGGTCTAAGACACAAAGTCTTTTGTTATTCCTTTAAAGCTGTACTTCCTCTTCCAGGTACGGACCACAGATATTAATTACTATTAGACAGACACAGACAGACAAACATAGACACATTGTTACAGGAATGCTAGATTTCAAATTCATTATTATATTAGAAAAAAATACTAATTTAGCATTTACTCAAACATGTTATAAATCAAACATTTTGCAATTAATTATCCATTAAACAAGAATCATTACAACATTATTTCATGTACCCCATACACATATTTTTATACCCCCCTCCCCCACTTAAAAAGAATAAGAAAAAAAAAAAAAAAGAAAACAAGAAATACCAGCCAGCCAATAGGATGCACACCTGCCACAGAAGGGAGAGCTGCTATTGGGCCAGAATTTGGAAAAAGGGAGGGAGGGAAGACAGAGAGAAGAATTTCCCAAAGCAAAGAATATAACCTTCCTTACTCTTAATTAAGAAGGAATACATCGTAAAAACAATGCCTAAAAGAATCGACTGGTAAAACATATTACTTACATAGTCCACATTCCTTACTAACTCACTCTGTCTTTGGGGAAGTTGCTAAAATTTAAAAGAGGTCAAATCAATAATGCTACAGATTCCAAGTCTCAAACATCAATTATCAAGAAACAATACACTAATGCCTACGTCTAAAAATCAGCCAATAAGACTAGTCTACTCTATCGACTCAACTGCCAGCTAAACAAACCAACAAATGAGGCTGATGATTTCTTTTGGGGGGAAAGTGAAGTGGAAGGGGGTGTTATTTCACTTCTTTTTCTGCCTTGTAGCACACAGCAAATAAAAATCATTATGAAGTCCACATATAAAACCTGGATAATTTTATTATCTTGCACAATTCTTCCATTTTCTTCATGGTCTTCTAAGGCATATTTCTTATTATTAGCTCAGTTTCCTTCGTTCAATGATACACCTTATGCTATCTTAAGTGATGTTGCAAAAGACAAATCAAGGACTTAGTTCCTGCTTCCAAATTCAGGTTGGCTGCTTTCAGTCTCTGTCCCATCTCTGCCTCCTGTTGTTCCTTCTACCTTATTGAGATTCACTCAGAGTTTTCTTAAGACAAGACCCTTTTTCTCTGGTGGCTCCCAAATACTTTCTAACACCTATGCAAAACCAGTTCACCTCAGTCTTAATGTATATGCATTACCAGACTATAAATTTCTCCTAAATGTGAGATTACTTTCCATAAGCCAACACATCACCTGTTCTCACCAACTGAACCCACTAAAAAATCTTCACAGCGCCTCCATGAAAGTTCAGTGTCTTTAAATCACAGCTGACAAACTACAAGAAGACACTCTATAAAGTACTTTGCAGATCTGTCCCTTGATGCCAGAAATCCAGACAGGCAAAAGGAAGACTAGAAGCATGACACTCCTGCTGATACTCCGTGCTGATACTCCGCAGACAGGGACAGAGCAGTGATTAGCATCTCTCTGTCCTGAAGGTAGCCAGCCTACCCCTGCCCGAGCACATTCCTCCTCTCCTCTTGAGATCTCTGGTGCCTCCAGTGATGTCTTAGAGAACTGAGGTTTCTGAGAATACAGTCTTTAAAAATGTTTCTCCCTTTTCTGTGCAAAGGATACAAGTATGTAACAGAAAACTTTCTAGAACAAACGAACTTGGGGGAATGTGTCCGGGCAGCCCATCCAATGAAGGAGACAAATGCCCGCAGAAGATCCCTGAGGACTTCTCCACTCCCTTCCCAGTGCCCTCTGCCCCCTGCAGAGCCTGGAACTGGAATTGCAAACATCTGCCAATTTATTTTTATCTCACAATGTCTAGTTGCTGCCTGCAAGAACACCCCAACTGCTCTTTTCGACTCCTCCAAGGACCGTAAATGGAGAGTCCTCGCCAGCCCAGTCCCTTCCACCCTTCCAGGGCCATACATGGAGATGGAAGCCGTGTCACTACTGCCTGGCTGCCTGGAGAAAAGCACTCAGCACAAGAGGGACCAGTCGGCTGTCACTGAGGGTTACTCCTGAAGTCAAGAAATACAACTAATATTCCTTGGAAGAAAGATGCCACACTTAGCAGGACGTGATGTGGGCAGAAACAAAGCCACTGAGCACTGACAACATCATGGGAAACCACAGAAAAGATTTACTTTCTTGGAAACCACCAAACTGAGCGTAAATGTTCACTTATGTAATTGTGAATAAGAAAACTGGCCGTATCTAATGGTTTTAGATACGGAAGAACAGTCAGATGATAGATTTTACAGTTCTTTGTTGTGTACTTGTGTAACACACTTTGACAGTTACTATGCTGATATGTAAAATGTCTAGCAGGGGTCTGAAGGAAAAATGTTTGGTAATCCTGAGTCATTATGATAAGATTTGATGTATGAAATAATGTTAAAAAGATTCCCAAATGGATTTTAACTCTCTCAGAACGTAAATGCACATGAGGTACCTCATGGGTTCAGTCAAGACTACGGATCCAAGAGAGGCTGTTCAAACAGGGCACACTAACTAAGATAGAACCAAAAAGAAGAACTCAAACACCAGCTCCACCGCTACTGGAAGCAGCCCTGGAGTCAGTTCAACTAGCGGGCTGTAGAAATGGATCGAGAGGACACACGGAGCTGTCCTTCCCAAGTCTCATCACCCACAATCAATCAGACAGGTTACACCTTCCACACTCAAGCTGATTAACCAGAGCATACACTTAAATGACTCTCTGGGTCACCGGTCCTAAATAAACCAACTCAAAAACTTACTCTCAGTCTAAAATGAAGACAATGCTCCAGAGTCTAGAAAAAGCGGAGTCTCCCTTCCCATGCCAGACAGTTGCACAAACCCTGCAAGAACCATTGAGCTTTTCTCGGAGAACCATTTCCTGTTTCCTGCCCAGAACAAAGTCTTGCTTCCCCTCCTTCTTCCTTTACCTCACTCAGCTGAGAAATGTATAGCAATGTAAGCTCCAGCATTTTTTTAAAAAAAAAAAAAACTAAGATCTCAGCGGGGAAAGAATTTGCTTACAAACCACTGAAGGCTATTCAATTCACAATGGAGAAGAACTTTCCTCTCGTTAGACATTTCCGTGGTAAACAAGGTCACTGTCTCCCCCCTGGGGGAAGAGCTGAGAGACTTCATCTTGAATGAGGTCACAGGGACAGAGGTCAGGAGGAGTCAAGGGAATCTGGATAGAGGAATGAAAATGTAGGTAACAACTTGATCAGGTGGTCAGATCAGAGCAGTTCATAGGTATTTGACTGGGGAGAAACGCCAGGCGAACGCTTACTCAATCCACCGTGCCAACTGTTTAATGACTACGAAAGGAAAAGAACCAGAGACGAGACGTGAAAGATGTCCCATCACCAAAGCAGGGAGAAAAATAAGAGGGCTGACAACCGACAATGTATAGACAGAGGGAAGGTTTTGCCAAAGTTTAAGATTAGAGTGAAAGAAACGAGAGAATAAAGATGACAGTCACTGTGGATGAATGTAAGGGCGGTCTACGGGGTGGGGGTGGGGAGGGCAGGTAAACAGAGGCAGGGGTTTTAGATGGGCAGGGTTGGGTTTAACGGCAGCAATGCAGAGAAAGACCCAGGGTTACAGGACACGTAACATTAAATACAGTGCACAATGCAGCTATCTTGCCAAAGTAAGTAAATCCAGTATTGGGTTGTATAAGCAGAGGAATCACATGTAAGCTATGAAGGTGGCTCTTCCTCTCTATTCAGCACCGGTGAGGCCACAGCTGGAGCACAGCATTCAGTTCTGGGCATCGAACCAGCTACAAGAGAGGGAAATTGTAGAGTTCAGAAAAGGGCAAATAATATAATGAAAGGCTTGGAAAATAAGATCTGTAAGTAGGGCCAGTGGTTTCATCAAAGCCCTTTCTGACATTGTATAAGCTACTTTTGGGGTAAACAGGTTTCTTTTGCCTCGCTGTCTGTAGGGAAGTGGGAAGAATTGGATTCTCCCGTGGTACGTGGTATGGCAAGGTAGGAAGCAAGCTAATCAACGTATTGTCTGGGCATATGCCAGCTCATTCTGCTACTGGCTCAGTCATTTTCTCCAAATTTACCCCATTTCATTCAATCATAAAGGAAGCACCATGACAAAACCACTGTTCTAACAGAACTGACCGCAGGCGGTCCAGGGTATACAAGGAGGAATAGAATAAGCATAATAGCTATAAACGGGTGGTGTAGAAAATGTTCACGGGCATGATCAGTCTAAGATGTCAGATGAAAAAATAAAGTCCAACTGCAGGAGGACAGCTTGGTTATAACAGCAGGAAACAATGTTATAAGAAAAAATAAGCAGTGAAACAGATTTTCAAATGCAGTTGCCAAACTGGCCGTTATAGAAATGGGTTGCATAGTTTATCTTAACATTCTGCCAGCTAACTTGGACACATTTGCGATTCTTTGAACCCAATGATTAAATAGAGAATACACTTATTTGCAAACAAAGTCTTAAAAATCACATATTATACTCCACCAGAGACGGGAAATTACACTGAGCAAGTCTCCAGTGACTGATTATAAAAGTGTTGAAAACAGAACCCAGCCTAAGCAGATGTGTGTTTTGAAGCAAAAAACATCTTTGTGAAATAGGTCTATCTTCTTCCTTTAAACTTAATTACTGTTTTATTGCAACTGTTACTAGTGCTTTTAGTTAACTGAGACAACAAAACAATGCTGAGTTCTTTGAGTTCATTCAATCTTTAAGAAAGACTCAAAATTTCTTTAATTAGTTTTATTTTCTGGCTGAGTACAAAGGAAGGAAAGAAAAAAACCTGAAGGTAAAGAAACATTTCTGTGCGTAGTAAGAGGATTATTAAGAATATAGT